TGGAGAATGCGGGCATCGATCCCGCTACCTCTCGCATGCTAAGCGAGCGCTCTACCATTTGAGCTAATTCCCCATGCTAAAGTTGTTTTTCGGTATTCCTTTTAAAAGTAAACAAAAGCTACATATATTAACCAGTAAACTGGATTGATTGTTCTGCGTCACTTGTCAGCCTAATTAAAAGGATAACTAAATGTTGTAAAACTTGTTTTCAATCTATTCTTTCTCCTATCTTAAGTAATATTTCACATTGCACTTTTAAAAAAACAACCATTAACAAACTCTCAATCTGATCCAACAGAAAGGAGGTCTATTAACAGAACATACTCACTGAATCCAAATACGATTTTTGAGGCCTTAAACACACTCACATATGAGTATGGTGAAAATTAAAAAATATTCTACTGTGATAACAGCAGCACTAAATGCGCATAGCCTTATCTGTGGTGATGAAGTGTCGTGGCACGTGGCCTTTGCTGTTTTGAAGGTTGGCAAGTCTGACGAAACCATCAGACTGAATCTTGGAAATACAGAGCTTCATTACGATTAATTCCTATAAGCATAGTACTGGGAGTAGTAGGGCTGGATCTTAAATCAAGCGACAAGCTACAATTCCTCAAGGTAAAAACCACACAATACTGACAAGTATTTCCTCTTCGTCCTAGTCACTCCTATGATCTTCTTTCTCACCAGCCTAATCTGTAAAAACTGGTCTGCAGACTGTAAATTTATACGTCAGTGGAATTTCCGCCAGTGATTACTGCCCAGGGAAGCCTGTTCCTGAGCAAAACTACATAGCCCAACAAAAAGGTAAGTATTATATGCTGTGAAATGAATTAACTACTCAGATGGTAAAATACTCGTTGAGCACATTAGCAGCAGTTTCCTGACCACTGTCTATATAGCAGATTTCTCCAGAATATTCCACAGGTTGGAACCGCCTCAGCTTCCCCAACCACATTCCTTCATCGAAGCGGCAGCGCTTATCGCGCCCTCCCTTCCTGGTTGCAAAGGCCCTCATTCTATGCTAGCCGTGAGATTGACAGATCTCACCACCACCACTACAAAAAAAAAAAAAAAAGGTCAGCGAAGGGGAGAGGCTTGTTTCCAGGAAATGACGTTACACGCAAAGCAACACTCACGGCTGGCCGTCAGTGTGTTTCCGGCTGGTGGGGGAGGGGTTTGGACAAGATGGCTGGATCCACAGGTCTGTGCTGAGATTGGGGTGGGGGTCATTTGGGGCTTGCTGCGGCGCCGTCGGTTGGGAAGGACGGGCCCTCCGATTGACAAGGCTTTGAGCGTGGGGCTGAGACTAGCCCTCGGGAGGGATATGGTGTGAACGGCGTCAGTACAGCCCGACTGAAGTTCTACCCGGGGGAGCGGACGAGAGGCCGAGGGCTTGGTGCCGGGGCAGGGAATTCTCTTGGAAGAGCAAGACACGGGTTAGGAACGTGTCGAGGGCGGTCAAACGCGCTCTCCAAGGCGGCTTTTGTATCTTGACGGGCGGGGAGCGGTTTTCTGGGTCTTTGAACCTGTTTCTGTGGCGGAAACTTACAGGGCTTAAAGGGCTGTGCAAATGTCTTCGGTCTCATCCCTTTCCAGTCAGAATGCTGACAAATGCGGCTCTTTCCATGCCAGACAGAACTCGGTCGCGTGTTTCGTTTCGAAAATGCCGACATTAAAGTCTGGATTAAGAGAGCTTTAAAAAACCCCAATGAGTTTTTCCGGGCATCTTCGCTTACTTATTCTGTAGGTTCTGAAGAATGAAGTTTCTTAATGTTTTCTATATGATAATCTCATGCGCTTTCCTCCTTCTCCTCCGTCATCTTGGCTAACTTCCTTCGGATTTCAGGAAAGAAGATCTGCCACTTAAGAATTTATATAAGCTTGGGATTTGTGTTCTTCCTTTTTTGATTGTGGCTCTGCTTTTTTAATTTAGGGCAGTGTGATAAATGTGAATATTCTTGCTCCTTTGCAGCATACAGTATGCCTTATCTTTTATATTACCCTGACTTGGGTGTTCTTGGTATTTTGTCCATATCTCCTCATTGTTCACATAATGATTAAAAAAAATGTTTGTGGAGAGGACATATAAATTAACCCGAAATTCACCCAGTTTTTATAGATTATGTAAAATGTGGCATTTCAGTGAGTGTGGAAAAATAAAATGATGATTCAGTGTGTATATATATTAATTTACAAAATTTATTTTTCTAGTATCCAAAATTAATTAAAATATCTGGATTAAATCAGTTCTTTGGGTTCATGAAACGGCATCATTGCATCTCAACTAAATGTTCTAGTGCTACAGGTTCTGTTCTTAGATCATTAATTTGATGTCTAATTATTCAATTGTTGATATAGATGGGATTGTTAAATCAGTGAACATTAATCATAGTTATCTGGAGATGCTGTTTATTCATAACTTTTGAGTTTGTCATGGGCATCCAATTGCCATGATAAGGCAACTAGGCCTTTGGCAGCTGCCCTTATATTCTGATTTGCTTAGACTATAAATATTGTAAAATATTTGTAAATATTTGTAAAAATTCTTGTTAAACAGGATGTGTTTTGCACACAATGGATGCTTAAATTATTAAATGTAAGTAATGTACAGTATTTATGTTTGTATCTCCCTCATAAGAGTCCAGTGTGGTATACAAAGCAATAAAATAAGCCATTACTTTAAAATAAAGTACTTGATTAAGTTTGAAATAGATCTATATCTACACAAATGTTTTAACAACAGGCATCTGCTTAAGAATTTTGAATCTTAGTATTACTTCAAAAAGTATACTATACACATGTGTTTTTAAGTATTATCTAAAACTTGACAAATTTAGGAGCTATTAGTACTTCTTACATGAGAAAAGCAATTGTATATCTACATCTAGTTCAGATAAATATGTACTGAACAAGTATAGTGTGTGTTTATACCTTACAATATGTAGAAATAAAACATACTGTTTTCTGTAAGAAAAGGTAGCTGTTTAGAATTTGCTTAGATGTCCTTTTCCACTTTGTTTGAATTCTCAGCATGGAATAGATTGAGTCTCTTTCTTATTGTGTATTTTAGCATAATAGCTACAATTGCTATTTTTTCAGTATATTTTAATAAAATAAAGTTCAGACTTCTATCTTGAGCTGTAGGTACCATCTAATAAAACCCATAGATCTTTCCTCAGTTTGTGCCTCCAAAAGCAAAATTACTGTGTGGGCATAATATTCCATCAACTTAATTGGTACTACTGTTTTCATAATTATTAATCTAGACAAAGAATCAGAAATGAAATATCATAAACTTACTTTGCACCAGATATTTTCCCCGTACCTTAACAACAAAAAGGCTTTAATTTTCAGGCATAGTAATTACAGATAGTCCTAATTTACAACAGTGCTGAATAAGCAATATGTATGACTGGTCTTCAAAGTTCCACACCCCTGTGGTCATGTGATTGCGATCTGGTACTTGGCAACCAGCTTCCACTTACAATGGTTGCAGTATCCATGGTCACATCATCATTGCAACCTTCCCTGCTAGCTTCCGACAAGTTGGCAGGTGAAGGCATAGGTCTGTTCCCATTGCTGTCATTTTTCCATGTTTCCAACCTCTGGAACACCAACCTTGTACCTGGCTGTACTATACTGAACAGCAATAGTCAGTTATCTGCCCTGTGGAGCACCCATGTATTGATCAGTTGCCTGCTCAATATAATAAAACTAATCAGAAATACTCTGTAGTTTCTTATTTTGACTAAACCACAGAATTACAGTCATCAACTTTACAACAAATCAGAAATTATAAATCATAATCTGAGATTGGTTTCATATTCTGGCTTATTCTAAAATTAGAATAGAATTAGAATAAAATAGAGTAGAATAGAATTAACAGAGTTGGAAGGGACCTTGGAGGTCTTCTAGTCTAGCCTCTTGCTTAGGCAGGACCTATAACATTTCAGACAAATGGATATCCAATCTCTTCTTAAAAACTTCCAGTGTTGGAGCATTTACAACTTCTGGTGGCAAGTTGTTCCACTGTTTAATTGTTCTAATAGTTAGAATCTTTCTAATTTCAGTGTCTCACTATGGAAAAAGGTTTTATGTGTTCTTGAAAGAAAAAGGATTAAGTCAAGTTTTGATTATTCACATTTGATAATGTTTCATGGAGATTGATAACATGAACTGAAAAAATCCTCACTATAAAAAAGACCTATTTTCTGATGCAGAAAATTGATTTGAATTGACTTCCAAGTATAAAATCTGATATTTAGAATCTATCATTTTAAATAAGACTCATGAGAAAGTGTTTTATTCCAAAATAAATGTTTATCCATATAATTTGAAATATCCATCTAATTTATATACTGCTCACCTTGCAGTTCAAGGCAACTCTGAGCGACTTTGAACAACATTATTTTATGTGTAATGGTTTAATTTTCAATTGGGATGTACTTTGTTTACCATGAAAGTGTTTTTGTTTTACTTAAATTCAGACATTCTGATGTACGATTTATAATGGTTGGGTTAGATGAAACATATTTACTAACAGGTTAAATAAATTCTTAATACTGTTTTTAAAATGTTAATATTGCCTCATTTCTCTCCAATAGTTAAAGTCCCTCGTAATTTTCGCTTGTTGGAAGAACTTGAAGAGGGACAAAAAGGAGTAGGAGATGGTACAGTAAGCTGGGGGCTGGAAGATGATGAAGACATGACACTTACACGGTGGACAGGCATGATTATTGGACCACCAAGGGTTGGTGCTGCAAGTTAAATATTTTTCTAACAAGAAACACTTGGGTCATATTTTAAGAGAACATACACAATCAGTGGTAGTTAATATAGTTACATTCAAGTCTTCCTTTGAATCTAAATGTGGAATTTGTTAGGAGTCTTTTAAGTAATAGGAACTAATAGAGGAAGTTAGAAAAAATTATTTTCCCTTTTTGGTTGTTGTTGGAAATATTTCTTACATGCTCAATCTAAGACATGAACAATATACTTAAAATAATACGGGCAAATATCTTTATACGTATATGTTCATTAACTCGGTAATAATCCTATATTGAGTATAGAGCTCACTGGTAGCTATTTCACAAAGTAAAGGATACATGAATTTTGAGTGCTCCTCTCCAATAGTAGTACAACTGAAATATGTTATCTTATTCCATGGATTCAGTACTGAAATAATACTAGATAGCTACAGTTTGCAAATAAATTGATATGATTTTCAGAAGTAAAAAATCTTGCTCATATTAGGCTTTCTTGCATATCACCCCCTTTCCATTAGTGTGTGTACAATCGGCCTGCATTAAAGAATCCAAAGAGATATTGCTTTTCCTTCCCTTTTTTTGTGGCCTCTCCCCCCCCCCCCCCCCCCCCCCGTTCATACGTGAGATAAAGTGAAAGACAGAAGGGAATGAGAGCTCCTGCCACTTAGAAACCCACCCTCCATCCACTGCATCCTCTTTACACTTGTGTGTTTGGTGTTGGATTTGGAGTATCATTACATTGGTATCTCAACATCAGTTATTGTGCCTGTTTTATCTTAGACATGACTGCCTTGTTAGTATTATATAGCATTTTGCTCTTTGATATAAATTTGTATCTTAGGACTGAGCACAATTTAATGAATTTTGTTTATTTGCTATAAAAGAATTTTAAATAGGATGGTGCTTGTACTATAATTCTTTTATTTCTTTTCGTATTTCTTTTTTTGTAATTGTACCACTGATTAGTTTAAGCTGCGAGAGGTTCTACAGAATGGAGATCCTAGCACTGAGAAGTTTGAGGATTTGCTCAGCGCTGTTGAGGGAATTATTATTTATTATTAAATTTATTTGCTGCCCATCTCATAATGAAATGACTCTGGATGGCTCAAAGCATAAAACATTAAAATTGTCACATATAAATATATCTAACAGAGTAAAAATAGAAGTCCCCATCCAGATAAAATTATAATTAAAAGATGAGGGAGGGAACAGGTGTGATGTTCCTCATTAGGGCCCCCAAGCCATTTGGCAGAGCTAGGTCTTCAGCCTCCTGCAGAAGTTTAGGAGAGCGGCAGCCAATCTCATCTCGGAATAAGATGTTCCAAAGTGCAGGAACCATGGCAGAGAATGCTCTTTTCCTGGACCCAGCCAGCTGAAATTCCTTAGCCGCTGAAGCCTATACCATGCCTCCTCTGCTGGTGCGTGTGGAGAAAGCCAGTCCCATTGGAGTGAGGCAGTTCCTCAGGTAACCTGGACTCATACCATGTAGGGCTTTAAAGGTAATAACAACCTTGAATTGCACCCGGAAAAAGACCAATAGCTGCCTGTGGCCTCCCTGAGCTCCATTTTTGCTGGCAGAGGGCTGCAGGAGGCCCTTGCGGCTGAAACCGGAGCTTCAGTGAGTGATGTCAAGCTGGCCACGCGCCTTGTCCCCCCCCAACCATGGCCCCTTGAGATCAAACACAACCCTGATGTGGCCCTCGTTGAAATCAAGTTTGACACCCCTGATGTAGAAAATCACAATTAGACTTAAAGTCAGGGCCTTTGTGTATCTGTTACAAAGTTCCAGAAAATATTTCTGTTTATTGCACAAAAATCAATGAAGAATCTATAATACTATAATTATTCATTTATTAAGGATTCCTTCCTGTTTTGCCAAATGTGTCATATGTTGGCGGTATAGAAGGTTTTTCTCCTTTGAAGCCTAAACATATTTTGTTATTGCTTTATATTTAAATTTTGTGTTGGAATTCATAGAGTTTCAGTTAATCTGAATCCAGATTGAAAATAGGGGATTGTAAACCCTCCTTATTTAGGTCCAGTAAATACACTATTTGCAACTTCACTGCCTGAAGCTTTAAGAGTTAGTTCTAACTAGAATGTTTTAATTATAATAATATAATTGTAATCTTTATGCTGAATACCATTCTATCTAGGAGAGGAAGCAATTGATACCATATTTTGTAACATTAACTTTTAGACTAATCTTCAATCAGCAGAATTGACTTCACTGATGATTAGCTTGATGTATGCCCACAATTTTCTCAGTTCTGTTTATGTATATATTCTATTTTGATTTGTGCATTATCATTTGCTAACTAATGACTTCATTAATCATGGTATATTAATAAGCCAAATAGAGATTAAATAATTATATACCACCTAATATGGGTAACATTATCTGGGTATGGAAGCTAATTAGGCATGGGCTAGTTAGTACTTGAATGGAAAACTGAGGATTCCCAGGGATATAGACCAGATGAAAAGAAACAAAGATGACATTGTCGAACAACTTCCATATTGCTGCAGAGAGCAGTATATCCATAGTCACCAGGAATCAAGTTTGACTTGAAATAACTTTACTTTTTACTTGTACACAGAAACAATCTATTGAAATAATAACCAACATTTTATTCTAGTTAGGACAGTGCCCTAAATACTGTCATTTTGTATTATTTTAGCTCAAAATCTGAATTGCTTCTTGAGCAAGTATGGAAAATGGAAATAAACAGGTGTGAAGAAACCTTCTACCTTAATGGGTTGTTATCTTGTGGATACCATTCTGCCAGCAGAAATTATTTTTAATGACTGCATTTCTAGGCAGTCCTCAAATCTGCAGTAAAGAGATAGGGAAGCCTTTGAGATCAGGAAATACCCTTGCATAAGGGGAAACCTGATTTGTAAATTTATATATAATCCAATCATTGCACAACCATGAATTTGTGAATCTGAAAGGTCACTATACATCAGAATATAATAGCAGCAAAATTTAAGGCATAAAGCTAGAAACGAACAAATTTAAGTTCTAGTCCTGCCTTAGCCATGAAAGCTGGCTGGCTGGCTTTGGTCTAGTCACTTCCTCTCAGGCCAGCTCACCGGGTTATTGTGAGGAAAATAGGAGGAAGATAGAGTATTAAGCATATTTGCTGCCCTTATTTATAAAAATGATAAAGGCAGCATAAAAATAAATAAGTGTACATGGAAAGCATATTGTTCAGTGGAAAAAACTGGGTTGTAAGAAAATATTTATAGGTTGGTTAAGTTGAAAAGGGAAATATGATTAGCTTCTAAATATAATTCGTTTTGATATTTATCTTCAAGCTATTACAAATTTAAAGAAATTGATTTTATTCAGCAAGTTCTGCATTTTTGATAAATTGATTGCATTTGCCACAATTATTTTGTTCTGTCAGATATGCACATTATTTTAGGTTCAGAAGCTATAGTTGAACTATCATGGCGTGCCAAGGTTGGCATTTCAAAAACTAAGTATTATTTATAAAAATAAATAACATCTGGAAGAACTTGAGAATCAAATAAGTGTTAGGAGTTCTCAAAGTTTTTTTAAGAATGTAAAATTGATTATTGGAACAATTACTGGGGATTTTTATAGGAATAGATATTTTCAAATTTCTCTTATTTTTTTTTTTAATATTGGCTAAAATCTTTAGTATGCTTAAAATAGTCTATAATGCACATACAGAAGCAAACAGATAATCATGTGGTGGCCATGCTTATATTAATTAAATTGAAAATATTGTATTACTTTTCCCTATTCAGTTTGGGTTCCTGTGCATACACATATTTAGGTGAAATTGAAACTAGGTTTACAAACAAGTCCTTTGGAATTGTGATAGTTCTACAGTTAATTAGAAAGGCTGTAAATGTAACTCCTAAAAAAGCCTAAAATATATTAATCAGCTGATTAACAGAAGTGAATATTGTAATTTATCCCTAGCATTCTTCAATTTCTGCTGTATTTGCTCAGTAAAAGTCTACCAGCCCTGAAATATGGCTGACTTTAGTTGTTTTCTTAAAATTGTGAATGCATATCTTCATTATGATTAACTTTTTGTCTTCTCTGTTTATTAGACAAATTATGAAAACAGAATATACAGCTTGAAAGTAGAGTGTGGGCCTAAATATCCTGAAGCACCTCCAACAGTTAGATTTGTAACTAAAATTAATATGAATGGAATAAATAATTCCAATGGAATGGTAAGTTGGATGCAAAATGAGCCAATTAATTTGGCAGGAAAGTTGTTGAAGGACTCTGCTTGGCAGGAGAGGTTGGGTTTAGAGTTAAGGAACCTCTTTAAAAGTTGTCATGTACTGTGTGTAACTATATGCGGTATATCTGCACCACTATAACTATTGCCAAAATGATGTGGAGATTGATTACAATTTTTTAAAAATTGCATATTGGTAAATATACCGCAGTATTAAAATTTTGATTCGGATATAAAATAGCTCATAGGATATTTAGTAACTAATAGTAAAACTAAAACTTTTAATTTAGTAGCCTTTTATTTTTTACCAACAATTAGTAAATCATGGAACTGCATGGGAACTGCATAGTGAGAGGGAGTAGTGGGAACTGTAATCTCATTTTACCATGGCAGCTGCAAGAAGACTTTGATGGAGGAGATGCTAAATATGTCTGTTTCTGATAATTCTCTTAATGTATAGATCTAATTGAACTGTCCTGGATAGATAGATAAACAATTAATGAGATTGTATCTGCAAACTGTTGAAGAATACTATATGAGAATTTCTATTTTAAAATTCAATCGTTATGCATGTTCCAGAAATTAAATATGAATAGCTGAGTATTTTTTTAAAGATAAAGCAGTGTCATTGAATGTTTGATGTACTATTCCCAGAAAAAGTAATTGGAGCATATTAACAGTTAAACAGTATTTCCTGAATATGACAGCATAATATATGTATACGCATAAATTATTTACTGCTTTTCATACGCTTTTCCATTTTTGAATTGTTGAAAAATTATATTCATTCCTTGAAAGCATCCTTCTATAGCAGGGTTATCTAAACCCATTTGGCCTGTGGGCCAAATGAATCACGCGCTGGCCACGCCCACCCCAGGGGAAAAGGTTGTGATATGTCATGTGACAACTTGTCATCGTGTGTTTGATACCCCTGCTCTATAGCTTGGGTTTAAAAAAAAATCAAAGGGCACTAAAATAAAGGTTCTTTTTTGAGACACTGATATATAATTTCTTTTATGTGCAATAATCAATAGTCTCAATTTTTGCATTTACAAATTAATGCAGCAGTTTAAACATCAATCCACAAGTTTAAATTTGTGTTCATATTTTCTGAAATATACATGCTCTGTTGACATTATTCTAGAATAAATTATTCTACATTCTCAGTTTAAATGTATTATTTCTTTCTTTATAGGTGGATGCACGGAGCATACCAGTGTTAGCAAAATGGCAAAATTCTTATAGCATTAAAGTTCTACTTCAAGAGTTAAGGCGTCTAATGATGTCCAAAGAAAATATGAAGCTTCCACAACCTCCAGAAGGGCAAACTTACAACAATTAATTTTAGCTGAATCCCAAACTTGTCTTAAACAACTTCTACTTATGTTAATGTCTTGATTCAATTTCACAATGCAAACCACCCACACATTAAGAGTTTCTGCTGGTGTATATGATCTGGACATTGAAAGAATATATATGTATATGTATGCCCCATATGTTTTCAGGCACAATCAGAGAAAAAAGGCAGCACAATTTTTTCCTCTTTACCAAGCACTATCATTTTAAGCATAAGCCTGAAGTAGCCTAAATTTGGAACTCCAGTGTTTCAAGATGAGCGCATGATCGGAAGTGTCAGGTTGCTGTGGAATAATGTTTCAGAAACTTTTTGCAAGAAGAAAAAAAAAACTAATGGCATGCTTTATCCATCTTGCTTTAGTGAAAGAGCTGCAGATTAAAACAATTAAGTAGCAGGTACTGCAAATACCATTGCTCAATTTGTTTAATTTTTGCAATGTGTGGGTGCTGACTGCTAGTAGTGTTTCAGAATATGGTCAGGATTGTTTTGATACTTGTATTTATAAAATGGGGGAATGATTTTCTTTTAAGCAGCTCCTGTGTGTTTCATGTAATGGACATTGCAAATATTTGTTTACAGTCTTCGTTCTAATAAACCATGCATTTAAGTTTTAGTGAAACCAACAAACAAAAAAAGGAAATAGGTGTATGGATATGTGATTGAGAATAAAGTTAGTCTTCAAATGTAAATAAAATGTGAAAAATATCCCCCGAGGCTGTGCTATTTCTAAATTTACACTGGCAGTACCCTACAAGATTGATAAGTCAAATGTTGCTCCTAATCTTGTCTTAATTACTCTTTTTCTTGGTATCTAGGCTGCTGGAGCAATTTTAGTGGAACCAGTTATATTAGACTCTGCATGTGTTATTCTTTTTCTTTAATTTTGAACTAAATGGCCCTCTAATTGTAACCTTTTTGCTTTTGTGATGCTCAGTTCGTATGTTGAATTCTTAAACTCTCTTTGCTATTAGCAGATATAGTATTAAAAATAATAAGAGGGGAAAGATGCAACTCCTTGTAAGTATGTTGTAGCTGACTTTTTAGGTGCTTTTGTGTTTTGTGCAATTGCTGCTCGATGGTTCAAGGAGCCTTAGATGGACATTAAGGTGTTGAAAATTCATTCTGCCTTATATTTTTTTCCCTTTCATATTGATTGAAATACGCATGCAAACCCCTTCTTCTACAAATAGATGTCTGTTATTCATATGCCAGCAACTAAGGTACTATCTAGGGTACAAGAAGCTTCTGATCTGTGTAGCCATTGTGGATGGATAATTTATTAGTTCAGCCTAATCTTGTTTGCAGGATGTAAATATTAATTCTAAAAATATTTTATTTTTGCCACCTTTGTTTTACATGAGAGGAGACATTAATTTAGGAATAAATTCTTTTTTTTTCTTTGTTCCTTTTAAATTAATGAACAGGGTAAGCAGCTGTTTAAGGGATGCTTTCTGCTAAAAAAATGTTAAAATTTTGTTTCATGAATTGCAGTTTGCAGCTTCTACCTTCAGAATAAATGGAAATCAAAAGGTTAATTCATATTTTCAGATATATTAAAAGTAAACAGCAGTTTCTTCATGATGTGGCCTTCATAACTACATGTTACACGTTTTATATTTGGGTATCTATATCTTACAAATTGTCTTATAGGAAATTGCCCTAAATATACACATGGTAAGTAAGCCTAAAACCTGAGTTCCCAAATGTATTTTGCTAGATTATGAGCTTTCTGAATGTAATGGAACTTAATTTTTTAGTGTGTATGTATTATATTTACATGCATACATTCTTTTATCATAGCTCCTACCATTTTGAGAAAAAACCCTCCACTATGATAATCTAATCATAAGAAGGCTTTCTTTTTGAAAAATTCTGATAGATACATTTCCAAAGTGACCAGCTTTTCCATTTTCATTCCACTATAATTTATTGATACATAATATTACTCTTTCCTTGATAAGGATTATATCTGGACTTAATTTGATAAACTAGGAGTATATATATGACTGACTACCTGATTCTACATACAAGATCTAGATCACATGAACTGAGGTGCCAGGAGTGAAAAGTGTGGAACAGTATGACTGGGCAGCTGCAAAAAACAACTGGAGGAGCCTTGAAGGTTGATGAATTATTCCCCTAAAGCCACTTTGTGCCTTTTCCCTTTAAAGCTTGGCAACTTTTCAGTGTAATGATATTAATAAGTTTATAAAAACAAAATTCCTTGAGCACAGAGCCATGTATAGACAGGGCAACTTGACATCAGCCTTAAATTATCTGTTTGGTGGTGTAAAATATGTATATGAGATAACAGTATAAATAAGGCAAGCAAAAATGTTTTTCCTTCCTAAATCCCAGTGCACAATAATTTCTAAAAAATGTGCCTGGAAATAAAGGTTATTACGAAAGGTTAATTAACAAGTATGAGAATGGGTTTAAACTTTGTACTAAGCCATTATTTTCTAACCATGGTTTCTGGAAGAATCCAGAATTTGCAGAAGTCACACAATATACAAAATGAAAATATATTATTAAGTACAAATACATCAGACCATGTATGATACACAATTCAGGCTTCACACATAGTGCTAAGCCATAGCTTGTTTTAATAAGCCATTATGGCCTGGTTCATATGCAATACTAAGCCATCAATTATCTGATATAAGCCACAATTACTGGGCTAACACACCACATTAAGCTAAAACTAAAATTACCTTATGGAACAGAGTTAGTGATGTGTCAACCCAGCCTTCGGGGGTGCAGGTTTGTCCTTACTGTGAAAAAAAAGCAGCTACCTCAGCAAGTACTGAGGGATAAGGATTTGGGAAGTTGTGGGGTCAGAGTTGTGTGCATCAAATGATGGCTCCAAGGTCTAAGCGATCTTGGTGACTGAAACAAAATGCAGCCATCAACATGGTCAGCTGATGTCTGTTGAATAAAGAGATATCATCTTGTCTTTTCCCTCAGGCAGCAAAATGTATTGCACCGGCTTTCTATGAGTGATCTTTTTTTTTTTGAGGGTCTGACTCATTCTGATATACTGAGAATAGTACATTATTAGTGTTCTGTTTTCTAATGTGTGTGGACTGCATTGGCTTCTCAGTGTTTGTTTGATTGTCTCACTGTAGTTACCTATAATAAATGTTTGGAACAAGTGCCATTTTTAAGCTGTATGTTTGCTCAAAGATAATCATGCTGTTACGAGGCCTAAAGAACAACAAAATAACATCTGCATGGAGAAGCCCCTTTCCCCAATCTCCCAGTATTGTGAATCTAATAAATACTCCCCCAACAAAAATCTGTTCCCCCCCCCCCAAACATGAATACTGTTAGGCTTAGATTTTGCAAAATGGAGAGGCATCTTTTAAACTAGTGTTTCTCATCCTCAGCAACTTTAAGATGTGCAGGCTTCAATACCCAGAATTCTGATGCTGGCTGGGGAACTCTGGGTGTTGAAGTCCATATATCTTAAAAGTTGCTGATGTTGAGTAATGCCCTTTAAACAAGATTCTGAAACTGGCAATGTTAGACCTGTTAGACCAAGGGTCTTCAAACTTGGCAAGTTTAAGACATGTGGACTTCAACTCCCAGAATTCCTGAGCTAACATGACTGGAAGAGGAATTCTGGGAGTTGAAGTCCACAAGTCTTAAAGCTGTCAAGTTTGAAGACCCCTGTGTTAGACTATAAGAAGGAATTTCCCTGGAATTGGCTTTTCCAGGCAAACGCTACCTCTTCATCATCATTGCATTCAATCACCTGCTATTACTGACCTGGCTGCCATGGGCAATAGACCTTTACATCCTCCATTAATCTAGCTTGTCCTTTTCTAATTAAGCTTTACTGCATCTTGTAAAAACAAATTGCTAAAATATTTTTTTGAGTGAAGCACATGAAATGGAAAAGGTTCATAGCTGACCATGAGTTGGAGTACTATAGCATAGAATTAAAACTTCTGTCTTATTTATTGTAGGTTAACGTAATACAAGAATACATTGGGTATTATCTCTCAGCAAGGAAATGAATTGGATCGTACGCTTCAGGATAATTTTATTACATTTTCACCCCAATAAACACTTCATAAAAGATGTTTAATTATATGCACAGGCCTCTACTGTTTGTCCTGTGGAAGAAATTTTATTTATTCATTCATTTACAATAAAAAAAAGATTGCTTGCTTGCTTTCCACAGCCAAGATAGCCATATTCAAATGGCTTCATATTCAAAGAAATGAAGCTTTTTGACAGTTTGATAAAGTCCTTCTGGTCAGAAGGTCACCATCCCTTTCGCCCTATTCCAGATATCAATGATGTTGCTCTATATGAAAACTGTAAATCATGCTATGCCCATAAAGAGATTCAAGAGTTTGTAATTTTAATTACATTTTAATGTGTCTCTTCCATTTTTATGTTGTAAAGAAAAACAAAAAACCTGCCTGATATGCTACAGTGTTCTTCCATTGTTGTGCTACGTAAATAATGACACTGGTGCAAAACTTTTAAGTTATGACTTGACAAGCCTTCTTACGTAAACAGGCAGTGTTAATACTGTTTTCCAGTTTACAGTAAACATAGTGCTACAAGAAGAAAGGAAATGTGTTTCTTAGAAACATTAACTGGCACTATCTATTCAGAAGATTTTGTCATAGATTGTCTCCTTCATTCCTGTATGCTACTATTTTATGCGTATTGCCTATCAATTCTATATATATATAAAAGAATATTTCATTTAACTTTCATAAGGATTTGTGTGATGCTAGTGTCCACGCACAAACACAAAATAACATGCTCCACTCTCCAGCTTGTTTCATGATGGATGTGGAAGTATACCTCAAGATTTTATACTGGGAAATTTTGTGTGTTCCGTTTTCAGCCAAGACAGGTAATCTTCCATAGAAGTCATCGCTGAGGATGTAACGTGTACATGTATTTGTATGGAGAGAAAATGCCTCTGTACTTGGGTCACACAAATAATTGACCCAAATAATTGCTACAATCCTCAAAATGCATTCACTATTAATCTTCCTTTGTGAGCAAATGAGAAATTCTTGTTCTCATCATTTTCCCCGTATGCTTACATTTCTCTTGAGATGAGAAAAACGGGGCTGCTTTTGCTTTTATTTAGAGAAAGTAAATAGTAGCAGCACAACGGAGCCGCAGCAACAGCAGCAAACTCAAATACACTTACATATTGGCAATGGGCCTTATCACTTGATTTATACAATAGTCCTTAATATCTGCCTTGTTATGTAATGTTTCTGCAGCATTCGGAATTCTGGTTTGATTTTACTTAATAAATAAAAGGAATACAGTTTTGTATTACATTGCCAAATTATTTGTAGTGGCTGCTTAATTCCTAAACCTATCATTTCAAGTCACCTCTGTTCAAGAATTTTTTTTTTTAAAAAAAATCCAATCTGTTGCATGCCAGTTTCTTCCAGTGAGAAGATTACTGTACAGTGCAAGCTCTGGTTCTGGCTGGCTGTAGATGCCGCAAACACGTTGGATCTATATCTTGCAGCCCCAAAATAATCCAACCCACAACGTCAGCAAGTTCGTCTTGTACATTCTTTCCTCCTGTTGAATTTGCCACCCATCCTATTGGGTAGCAAGACAACTTTGCAAGCTACAATCTTTGGTGAACTGTGATTTTATGTCAATCCTGCTTTCTCACAAGAGGTGCACAGGTGGTGCTGAAGATCAAATGTTGCTGGCAGAAGAGCAGCCCGATTTGATTGACTCTCTAGATCTTCAATGCAAAGGGAACTCTAACAATAGTTATTGCTCCAGAAAAAACAGTCTTCAAGAGAAGGGAGATGAACATTCAGTCCACGAAAGTCTGGATTATTTGCCTTCACACAGTAACATTTATAAGAAGTGGCTGCAGGAGCAAGGCTACAGGTACTTGACTTAAATTTGTGTTTATATCTTAGAATTGCTGTTATAAGACGCAAACATGGAGTGCTGTTTTCAGCTTACTTTCTCCTTTTTAATTTTTCGCCTCCCTCTTCTGTTTAGTAGTTAACTAGGATTCTGTGATCACTGCTCAAGCTTAGATCCGTGATGGTGCAGTGGTTAGAATGCAGTACTGGAGGCTACTTCTGCGGACTGTCGGCTGTCTTCAGCTTGGCAGTTCAAAACTCACCAGGCTCAAGGTTGACTCAGCCTTTCATCCTTTCTGAGGTTGATAAAATGAGGACTCAGATTATTGGGGGCAATATGCTGATTCTGTAAACCATTTAGAGAGGGCTGTAAAGCACCGTGAAGATATATAGAAATCTAAGTGCTATTGCTGTTAACTCTTTAAACGGCATTGAGAAGTGTTGGTTGTAAGGTTATTAAGCAATGAGCTGGGTCTGCCTCCCAGAGGTATCAATGTTTTAAAAAACTTATTCAGGCTTGCATAGGCAAAAAAGCCGGAGTTCATTTTGCCTTACAATTTCATCTAATAAATGGACTAAAATTTAATTTTTAAATGGAAGTAGTGTATTTACTTCTTACCTCACCATAATCCCAAGAAGTGTTTTTTTTATCCATTGGGCAGCACATATGTTTATAAATTATGGTGGGGGTGGCCTGATACTATAAAGTTTGAGAACACCTATATTAATTTCATGAAGTCTTGAATCTATGAGACTCTAAATATTATTATCCTCATAGACCTAACACTCCAAACTGGAAATTTTACTAGAAACTGCCAGCACAGGCAGTCCCTATTTACCAGGCACTAATTTAACAACTGTTTGAAATTATGATTAGTATTGAACAAGGAGACTTGCAAATGGTTCTCAAAGTTGTGGACATTACAGCATTACCACAGTCAGGATTTGAGCATTAAGCAACTGGTGGACATTTATGACAGTTGCAACATCCCACAGTCACATCCAGCTTTTGACAAGCAAAATCAATGGAGAAGCTGGTAGAAAGTTGCTAGTTGTAATCACAAGATATATTTAATGACCTGTGGTGATTCACTTAACAACTGCAACCAGAATTGAACTGACATTGTAAGTCAGGCATGGTCACATAACATTTTACTTCATGATCTCATTGCTTGATAGAGATGCCAGTCCCAACTGTGATAGGTAAGTAAGGACAACCTGTATGGATTTATGATAATAAATCATAGATATAAAGTATGTTCACATGGTTGAAAATGCTTTCCATGGAAATAGTGACAAAGTACAAATAAGTAGTATATTAATAAATGGTTTTGGGATGGAGGAATTGTGAATCTGATGCAATAAGGAAGCTTCTCTTCTTCACAAACTTATCCAAATGAAATATGTAGATTGTAATATTATGAATTAATATAGAACTTATGGCAGCTGTGTCCAGCTTGATGTCATCAAATGTGTATCAAGTTTCTAAAATTACTCAGCTATAATGGCTACCAGATAAATTCCTAAGTGATTATGGGAATTAATCGAGCACATCTGGTGAGCCTGAGCAACTAAGTGGGTTATAAGTCAGGGAGTAAATCCCAGAAAAATAGTAGGCTTCATTCTTGAGTCAACTGGCATGGTTGCACAATTAAATCAGGATTATTGTATATTTAGGCATATAATCTTGCTAAAATGAAGCACTTTTTTTTATAATGCATCTGTTCAGAACAAGACCTATCTTTCATAAATAATTTAAATGAGTCAGATCATTCAGTCCATGAAATATTTCTAATGTCTGCAGTAAAATTAATCTAGAAATTAATGACAGCAAAACCAGAATATCTATTTCTTTGATATTTGTAATTGCCATTAACAATTCAGCAGGTAAAACAGAGGTGGTATTCAGCAGGTTCTGACCAGTTCTGGAGAACCAGTAGTGGAAATTTTGAGTAGTTTGGAGAACCGGCAAATATCACCTCTGACTGCCCCTGCCTCCATCTATTCTCTGCCTTCTGAGTCCCAGCTGATCGGCTGGGTCTTTTGTTGCCCTTCACAGGAGAACGGAGCTGGAAAGCAGGTTAGTGGGGTAGGGAGTGAATGATTTTGCAGTATCCTTTCCCTGCCATGCCCCCATCAAGCTACGCCCACAGAACTGGTAGTAAATTTTTTTGAATCCCACCACTGAGGTAAAACAGATTATTTTAGAATATACTGGTGGGATTTTTGGTCACATTTGAGTTTGCTTCTCTTGAAAAGACATTTATTATATAGTCAATTTTCCCACAACAATTAGAGGTCGTTTTCTGGATATGCATACATGTTTTCTCAATCTGGTCCTCTCCAAATTCACTGAACTTCAATGAATCTAAATGTCAGCCAGTAGGATTTATTTTCTAGGGTTTATATACCACTCCAGTTCAAAGCAAATCTGAACAGTAGCTAGGTTAAATTATAATGTGAGTAAGAACATAATGATGCATAATATTCTGGTATAACAACATCAGGAGTCATGCAGCCATCTCAGCTATTCTCAAGGCCATCCAGAAGAGCCAGGATTTTATTGTCTTCTAGATGAGGCTATTCCATAGGATAGGAACTCCTACAGTGAAGGTTAACCTCGACATTTCTGGTAAGATTTCTTAGGGATTGAGTTCTCACCTACTGGATCTCACTGGATGGATAGAATCTACCTGGAGAATAGAGTCTTGTAGATACACAATATGTAACATGGATATACCAAGTTGAACATGAGGGCTACTGCATTATGCAGCTTGCTCCTTTGACACCTACAAAGCTATCATAAACATTGTCAATCTATGTATCCTTAGTTTTGTATATATACCAACCTACATATATAACACCAATTAATATTTTTTGAAATATTTCATCACCTATTCATAACTAAACCTATACCTTCACTAAACAGGACCAGACCATAGTTAATTTTTGTATAGCTTTCCCCTTTCTCTTGGTTTTATAAAAAGACATCGGTCTTTCGGTTTGAGGTTCTTTGACGACAGACCAAAATCTGTGATCGTGCACAGTTTCGATCTGAGCTCGCCGCTGGAGCGCTCTGAGCCAGCTGGTTTTAGGGCTAAGCCACCCCATAGAGGTGGTGAAGAGGGGAAAGACTGACAGCAGGGTCGAGGAGAGTCACATCTCTCCTCCCCAGCTGGCCATTACTGCCTTTCCTGAAGGCAGTTGCAGTGGTGGTCAGAAATGGCCACCTCAAAGAAGAATTTGACTGGAAAAGAATGTGCAAGAGGAAGATAAGAAGAGACAGTTTTGGTTGACCGGGTTGAACTGAAAAAGCAACAATATAAGGTACCCTGGAATTTGAATTATAAAGAACAACATTGTTCCCAAAGAAGACTTTGAAGCAGCGAATGAGAGAGGGAGAGGAAAGGATTTGTTTTTTTTTCTTTTCTTCCCTATATTGACAACTAACAGATTTAAGCAAGAAACCGGCAAAAATCCACTTTGACATTAACAGGTATTTAAGCTGAAAATAAAATAATAATAAAGATTTCTGGATTCTCAAAAACTTTTAAAAGAAGGAAGAAAACAAAAGGGTGGGATCTGAGAAAATGGAGGAGACCACCTGGAAGTGAAAGGAATTAACAGTGAAACTTTAACAAGATTCCGAAAAGATACATTTTAACTGAAACTTTGTAACAAAATAAGAGAATCCCAGGAAGAGAAAGTGGAAAAAAGAACCAAGAAGAAACAGCTTTGGATTATTTGGATTACTTGGTGATTTTTAGATTTTTGGCTGTCAGATCTAAAGGACTAAAATTAATCGGGTGGTTGTTTAAAAGTTTTTAAAATGGTATCACTCTTGGAAGAATTGAGAATGGAACTTAAAAACAGAAGATGCAAAGAAGGAAAAGGTTCTTTTGGCTTCGTATTTCAATTTTTAGAAATGGAGATCCTGAACTATGACAAACAACAAGAAATGCCTGTAGAACAAGAAGGGCGGGACAAAGAAGAAGCCATCTTGAATGACCAAGTATTTCTATGTGGGGAAAAGAAAGGAAAGGGGGGAAAGAGAGTGAAAAACTTAAGATTTGAAAAAAACAACCCCAAAAAAGAATAGTTTGAAAAGTAATTACAACATTAGGAAGAAACAGAAGAGAGGATTACAGAAGACAGAATCAGAATTAGAAGGAGTCAAAAAGGGAAGGGAGAAGAAGAGGGAGAAGAGAGAAAGGAAAAGAAATTATAAAGGACAGAAACAGGACATAGAGAAACAGGGAAAACGTACAAGGATTAAGGGTATAAGCCTATTTAGAAGACACAGAGATAATGGGTGAAAACTTAATTGAAAGGAGGATTCTGCAAGGGTACATAAGATAGTATTGTTATATTAGAAATAGAAATGAACTTTGAAAATACGAAACAAGTGTGATAGATTAAAATGATAGATAAAATAGTCATTGTAATGTAATGGAATGTTTAATAAATAAATGAAATAAAGAGAATGAAATTAGGAAAGGAGGGGAACATTTTAATTATTATAAATGTTATAAAAATTTAAGTGAAGTGGAATATGAAAGAAACATGAAAAAATTATGGAAATATAAGTGTTCCTAGAATTATGATACCCTATTGAAAAGAAATGTTAAAGATGTCAAAGATTATAACTAACATTAATGATAGAGCTGAATTGGAATAGAATGCGTATTTTATTTATTTTATATATATTTATATATATATATATAGTCTCTTTAAGAACTTAGTGCATATTTTAAGAATGTACCAAGCAGAATTTGACTGGAAGTTATGTGTAATATTGAATGTTTTAATTGTAAAGGCATACATTGAAGTTTAAATAAGAGTTGAATGGATAAAAATTAAAAGATACAAAGGTGTCATACTCCAATTAGTAACTACAGGGAAAAATTTTGTTTAATGAGAAAAGAAAATATGAAATTGAAACAGGACAAACAAAAGTATAAATATAATGACTAGAAAGATATTGAAACTTAGAAATATAAAGATATAGATATATATATATATATAATTGAATTTAGAAAGGAATGACATAATTAAAAGTAAGATTGAGAAAACTAAGGAAAGGGAAAAATTATTGAGAAAATGTTAAAATAGTAATAAGATATGGAATAGAACACAAAGATGAATATGAAATTGAATTTGTGTCTGTATGGAGAAGTGATAAGCTGGGACCATGCTATTCTCAAAAAAAGAAATTTTACTTGTATTATGTTTTGTGAAAACCCAAATAAATTTTTTATTAAAAAAAGACATCATTCTTTTCCTTTCATATCATACATTTTAGTTCAGGGCTGTCAAACTCCTGGCCTATGGGTCAGATGTGTCATACGCTGACCACGCCCCGTTTAGTGAAGGTGGAAAAAGTCCTGATACATCACGTGATGCTGCCGTGACGATGTGAGTTTGACACCCATGTTATAGTTCTTTTTCTAGTCACTCCTATTACATCCCATGTACAACTGATGCTTTGAAATAATGTTTTTAGTAAGAAAAGGGTAGAATTAAGTACCTTAGTCATAGTCATGCCATAGACATTATTCTTCACTAAGCATCTGAACATTATGAGCCACTTTTTGGCACATTTTTGCCCTTAAACTATAAGCACAACCAAAACCCAAATATGCTCACACTATTCTATGCAAATTAAGATCTCTAATCTAGTGAATACTTATGTTCATATCAAATGAACATAGAGATGTTCAAGTGTGCTACAGAGATTAGTGTTGTGCTAGAATTAAAGGTACCCAAGTTTATCAATTTAATGGACAATTTAACCACGATTCAAAGTTACAGCAGCCTTAGAAAAAACACTGAGTTGTGACCTGTATTTTCACTTATGACCATTGTATCACTCTTGCAGTCATATGATTGCAAGTTGCAGCATCCTATGGTCACATGATTTGGAACTTTTGTTGCCAATTTCTGTTAAAAAGCACTCACTGGGGAAGCTGGGTTCACTTAATGACCAGATGGTTTGCTTAATGACCACCGTGATTTGTTTAATAAGCACTGTAAATGCTGTCATCAAATCAGTTCTAACTTGACTTATGTTTACAATGACTTATGGCAGAAATTTTGGTCTGAATTGTGGTTGTAAATCAAGGACTACCTATAGATAATATACATGGGGGGAACTACAGGATCAATTGTCTCCCACAAGCAAACAGAGCATGGCAGCTGAGGAATCTTATCTCATTTGAGACACCAAATATTTTCTAGTTCGAAAATATCTTCCTTTACATCTTTTTCTCTGCACAAGGATTATAAAGTGCTCCAGTGCCATCTGTTGATGACAGTGAAAAGTGCATGCAGATCAGACAGGAGACAAGACTAGGAAGGCAAATCCTATTAGGAAAAAATATCACATCCATACTCTTTCATTAGAAGAACCAAGCAAAATGCTTAACAATCCAGATAGGGGAGCAAGTGTTATAAGCAAAGATGAGGAAAGTTTTAAATGTCATTTTAGATTGTGGCCACAGTTTAAAGAAATGCTTATTTCTATTTTCCTGCTAAAAGTAATCAGATAACACACAGAATAACAATAATGGTATATGCAATTTAAAAGTAAGAGTGTGGTAAAACAGTGGAAAGAATTGTGTTTTGATACTGAACTATAATAATTCTCTGTGGTTTTATTGAAAAACTGCAATCTAAAACACCTGAAGAACATTGTAAGAAAATATGTTCTTTGCCTGGAGGCACTGATAGACTTCTTGTTGCTTAAGGAAAACTGGGACTAAGCTTGCTAAGATTCTTTAAATGTTTTCTGAACTGGGAATGATGGTGAAAATGAGGCTGGATTTGGCAAACTGTTTTCACATTTCAGCAATTAAGAATGAGCTATTATACCTGTGTACATTTAGTTCAAATGTGGCCACAATATATAACAAAACAAACTAAATGTTACCCATAAATAATATATCTCAATAGCAAATGGTTGTACCTCTCAAAAGTTCTCATTAGAACACATAATGAAACAAAAACAAATTTGCTTTTGTTGCATTTTTTTCTTAAAGAAGTTGTCTCAGGGTTAATAGAGTGACTTGCAGTATGCAACACATGCTATTTAGAATGTAGGATTGTTGTGATGCAAAAAGGCAACCAAACTGAGGAGTAGAATCAAACAAAGTCATTGTTTTCTTAATGGAAATTTTCCTACATGCATCTGGCTTCTTGGGATAAGTCACTGAATCAGTTTTAAGAATTTAGATTCCATTATTCAAAGCATTAACTAATTAACTTTTATGGACTTCTTGCCTCAAAGCCACTAATAAACCCCATGATATTTTTTGCCACTGATATGGAATTGTTTCCTCTCTCCCCCTTTTTTAAAGAACGGATTGGGATCGATGGTTGGTGATGGGGATCATTGGAACAGCAACCGGAATTCTAGGTTTCCTGACTCATCAAATAATTGATTCCCTCATCAGATTAAAATGGGGCTTGGTGGAAGACTATCTTCAGGTAAAAGAAAATTATACAATATAGCTTTTATTACAAAGTTAAACTCAACTGAAATGTTCTTGTCTGATTATAGGATTATGCTACATTCATTACCTTTCTCCCTGCTCAAGTATTGAATATAGTTACCTGGGGATTTTAAATTGTGGCTGGGTCACATCAAAATAAGGTTTGCTTTATTTTGCTTAACATGTTATGTTGCAACAGCTACTATAACCCATAAATGAAGTTTATGCCTTAGCATCTTTTGCAGTTCCAGCCAAATATGACTCAGCCATCAACATGCTTAAGCACACTATGGTTTGGTAAGATGTATAGATCCGATCATTGCATACTTCATATTTTCTCTTCACAAGAATGCCCATTTTTATAAAAAGGTCTTTGTCCCTGTTTGCTTGTATAACAATGCAGTGAGGTCATTTTCCTGTTAATTTAATATTAGGTGGGTTTTTTTCCAGCCCCCAAATGAGGACAACTAAGGATAAATGCCAGTTTAGAACAGAATACTTTGTTGGCCATGTGTGATTAGACACAAAGGAATTTGTCTCCAGTGGAAAGCTTGGTAATAGCCTGTGATTTCCAAATGAGCCACAATTAGTTATGATAGGGACTGTACATTTGCATGTTGTAATCCATATGATACGGTGACTTGTTTTTTCTGACTCTCGTTGTCTACATTTGCACATATGCCTATTTGAGTCAACCAGACAGGGACAGTTTTAGAAGTAGCCATATGAGTCAAAGGTTTGCATGTAACTATATCTGGGCCATATAAATCTGGATAACACTAAATGGCAAGCAAAAGATAATGAAGTAACACATATATACACACACAAGGGAAGAACGATAATATGGGCAGAGGTTCTATAAGGGAATACTAAGAAAGTTAAAATAGATTATGTGATGAAAAGAGAGTTGGAGCTTTGATCATGAATTCACAGTTTTTTGACACCTTCCCCCTATCACACAGGGTGGGGCAATGGCACCTAATATGCTTTAGAAACCTGCTAAGATGAATTGAAAAGCTTACGTCCAATTATCCAGTTGGAGTTCTTTCTTCCACGCAGCGATTAAAGCAACCCTATGCAACATACCAGGTCCTATTTAGCAATTCTTCCCATTTTTCTTAAAGCTTATTCATTGAATCTAATAAAGAAAATGGTGCTTCTTTGTCTATTTTGGAGAAAAAAAATATCTAATTGAAAAATGTCAGATAGCTTTGGAGTCCTGTTGCTGCCTATTCTTCTTTTATTTATATTGAGAGTCAGATCAAACGGAAGTGCTGAATGTTTGAAGAAATCTGCATATTATTGAATGTGTTGACAACAAGGACACAGTTGTCAGCAGGGGAAGCCTGATGAATAAGTAGTTCAGCACATCTGGTCTTTATTTTAACCTGGCAAAGGTTAAAAACATCACTGTGAAATTGAAAGCAAATGAAAGCTTTAACCAATATCTATAAGACAGCAGCCAGAAGAAACAAGAGGCATTTGTCTTTGTGCCATTGAATTTGGCCATAATCAAAAACATGATAGGGTTTACTTCAGCTGGAAGAAGGTCCTGTTTTTGTCCTCCTGGTGCTTGGAGACTGAAAGCAAACATGACCAATATATTCTTCCATTACCCTGCAAGTTTTAACTGTCACACTTCCAATTTTTATAGAAATTATCTTTCAACCACGTTGCTCTATTCATCTGGCCTACTTATAAAAAGCATTACCTCACTGAATCCAGTAATTCAATGGAGCTTTCAGAAGCAAGCCCATTTGGATCTTCAATAAAGTATCAGGCTTTGCAGAATAGTCTTTTCTCAGTAGTTTATCACATCCTTGCCCAACCCTTAATTCCCAATCAAAATGTCCATTGGTCATGACTGATTATGGCCTTTAAATGGGATGGAGTCATAGTCATCAATATATCCAGAATATTGCCTGACCTTGGACCTAAGCCTTCTTTTTATATTATCCCATCCCTTTTTGTGTGTTTTATTCATAAAGTTCTAGTGATTCATTCTGATTATGTGCTTGTTTCAATGAAATGTGCAATATATTATCCATACCACAAAGCAGATTATGCAGATAAAATTGGATTAATACATATATCATTTCCCTTTCCATTCTATTTTTACTTCCCTGATATAATTCTTCTGGTACATTTTGTTTGTTCCATACATTTTGTGATCCAAACTTTTGAACTCTGAGATTCTAAAAGTGCAAAATAGAGCACTGTAAAAAATAAGCCTGTCTTCTTTTGGGGTATGATAACTTTAGAATTAATAGAACTTAAAACTACATGAGCAACAAGGTATTTACCATATTTCTGATGCTGTATTACATACTCTTAAAATCTATCCTAAAAGGGCTGATAGACCCACAAAAGCAGTGTTTTGAAAGCATTGAGAAAGTTATACTTTCTGTGTAAAAACTGCAGAATTCAGAGAATACACAAGCATTGATTTATTGCTAACAATGCAGAAGATCCTTTAAAAAAATCAAGTGTGTGGTACAAATAAATGCCTGTTTTTATGTTGATAAATGAAAACTGAATATAAATAGTCTGAAAAATGTAGCTGAGATATAAAACTACTGTCAATGGCATTTTAATATCCTGCCATTCTGGAACTCCAGCATAAAAAAAGGTGTTTAAAACAGTGAATTTCAAAAGTATATTTCAAACTATCCAGAGTTGGATAGTCTATAAATTAAATAAATAAATATGCAACTCTTTTAAATCACTTTGCTCTTAAATGTTACTCATGTCTTCATGGATGTAGAGGACACCTACATTGAGTTTTGATCATGGTCCTGTTTGGTGTCAGATTATTTCCTTCTAGCTTTTGCAGATTAAAGTCCCCACAATTCATTCTTAGCTTTCTTTCACTAAACAGTCAGTGGCAATATGGTCAATACCTTTCTTTTTTCCCCCTTTCCTAATGTTTTCTAACAAATGCAGGGTCAGCTTTTTTTTTACCCATGATTAACTGAGTTGCAATGGAAATTGATTGACCAGCTTATTAACCAAGCCTGACATTGCAGGTTTGAGAGAAAGCAACTGGCCTAAAGTTGTCCAGCAAACTTTCATGCTTAAGGTTGAGACTAGAAGTCACAATCTTCCAGGTACTAGTCTGGTGCATTAATCATTAAACAAAACTGGCTCTCAATACCTTCCTTTCTTTTGTAGGGAAAAATGTCCAGGCACATTTCAATGCTGTTCTTAGTTCTGAGGCTTGTCTTTGGATCTTATATTGAGTACAGTAACATTCTGGGTCAAAATAGAGATGGTGATTAGCTAATGTCTGATCAAAGACAAATAACATAAATTATGGGTATTGACAAAGCATCATGAGTGCAGATAAGGATTTTCACAGGGATCAGATTACTTCCATCCAAAACACAGGATGCCTGCAAAGATATCACTCAATATAAATATCAAAATATAATGCACAATGTAGCAATAAAGCATCTACAGGGCAGGAAGGGATTTTTAGACTTGGACTGTGAGTAATTGTTAATGCTAAGAGATTGCAAAGAATGGTTTTTTGATACCAAAGACTTTGAACAGATTTTAGCACACAGGTTCTTTGTGAATTTTGCGTCATCAAGATTCTGTTAAAACCCTGATTCTACTAGTCATATGTAAGGAAACTTGAGAAAATTATGGAAATGTTTCCAAGACTGAGGTAAATACCACTTACATTTGTGAAGTGGTAGATTCGGGTTTATGTATCTGATCTTCCTGAATTATTACAGAGAACCACATGTTTGCAATTTACAGTCAAAATATCTGGCTTGAGGCAACAGCAGGAAATTTGTGGTAATTTGCTGAACTATTTCATCTTTGAGGCATCTTTGACGTTTAGCCACAAGTGAGTCTAACCTCAGTATCATGACATTTTTGCAAAAGCATGGGAGCCAATTTACTTGTGATGGGCATCCCAGCAGACATCTTGACTCCATCCAATCCAATAAAAAAGCAAAAAAAAAAAGTTTTAAGGTGGAACAATATTTTGCTGAAGATATAAAGTAGGAAATATATGGGTTTCTGTGATGATGATTTTATAAAATACTCACTAATGATTAATGAATTGGATAGAAATTGTCACAATTATCCTCAAATCAGTGGGATTTATTTCAGAATGTGTACCAAAGGCCTGCTTTCAATATCACCAGCCTGTATCAAATTGGTTGGGTATTTATATAAAGCTGGTAGTAAAAATATTTGTTTAGTTGGAATGATAATTATAGATGTAGCTAAATTACAAGATGATTAACCAAGTCAGGAATGCTGACATTGACTATTATAGTAGGAACTAGACAAATTATTAAGTCAGTATCTTTTCAAAATTAAAGTAAACACTATATACTAAATATATGCAATAATATGTGAAACATTCTGAAGCTACTATTTTTAGCTTAAACCATGTAGTCAATTTAGTGTGCATTTATTTAAAAAAATGTATAAGTCTAAATATATAAATACAGAAGATGGCTTTCTGCTTGTGTGAGTGCATATAAATGCACTGCTTCATTTTTTATTATAAGGCTTGGAGGCTAATGACGTAGCTTATTTGATGAAACAGCTAGGGACCACAACATGTATTTGAGTGTGGGGGGAAGGAATTCTTCATATTTATTAAATGATAAAAATAGCACTAGACATTGGCAGAGATGCAGTGAATATTATACAAAATAAACATATGCTTAGCCTCAACACATAAATGGTTGACATCAGCAATTGTACCTCTGTTTTGAGCTAGCAATTCACAATTGTCATGTGGATTTGATTGTGAACCCAAATCTGTCTGAAGGTGAGGGATGAAAGTCAAGAGTTCAGCACAAAGAGTAAACATTATTATAGATGTTCATGACCATGATACTACTACGATATTTGCTGATACCTGTTGGACAATGATGTTTCTGTGGACTGGCTGAACCCTTTAAGCGGAGTTGGAAAGATAATTTAAGTAGACAACTCCAAAGTCTGCTCAGTGGAGGACTACAAATGTAAAACTCTTTTATCTTCCAGCAAAAGGAAGAGTGATTGGCACTACTGTTGATTTGCTTCATTGTTATTATTTTTTCCGAAACCCTCTTCCTGAAAATTAAGACCTTTCCCTGTTTTTGTATTCTGAGATAATAAAACACAGGCTATGGTTTATTTTGTGTGCTACTCTTTAAAATACCTGAAATATGCTTTTATAATTCTCTTTATTCATATTGTTGGAGATCAGACCATCTCTTTGCACCTACAAGCCTATTTAACCACTAGAGCCAATGACAAGCCACTAATAAGGGTGTTCATACCTATTCCTAAGTTCAGTTCTGTCCTGTTCTTTTGTTAGTTAATGAATCTCTTAAGCAATAAGGCAATTTCCTTTCTCTATCCTTTCCTCCCTCCCTTCAGACTTCATTACACTTTAAAATGTATGTATTTATTACATTTATATGCTGTCCATCTCACTATTGAAACAACTCTGGATAAAATATAGTTTATACAGAAGTGAAAGTTTTATGTGTTCATATACTTCTTAATAAATCAAAGTTTCAGTTCAAGTACAATGCATGTCTGTTACTATTAATTGACAGCTGGGGTAAGCCTACACTCTGTGCCAAATAAAGCAGATGAGCATTTTTGAAGTGAGCATTTTTAATGGGATGTCCTGTTACTTAATGACTCAGGATTCTTCTGCTTTTGTACAGGAGCATACTCTTTAACAAGGATTCATGCTGAATTCAGATCTCCTACATGTATTTCCCCCAAGCTAAAATATACCCAATTTCCATTCCTCTGGTCTATTGTGAGGTCTTTTTCATATGATAAAGACAGTATGTAGATCACAGACAGTATGTAGATTAAATAAATCTTAGGATGTCATACAATGCTTTAACAGAATATGTACAGTAAATGAATGTGATAAGAGTTATAACATTCCTCTTTTGCTTACCGTGTATTTGTAAAATGGACAGAAAGGCAACTTTCACATGACCTGGATTTACATGTTGGGAATTGGACTTGCGATGATCATTTTATCATCGGGATTAGTTGTGGTAAGTGTTAAATATCTTACTTAACAATCTGAAACAATTTCTGAAAGATGGGAGATGTTTCCTTATAATGAAAAAAATGAGACCCTAGTACAAATGAGAATTCACTGTTTATGCTACCATACTTTAGAAAGCAAATTTTAAACATTAACATTATGATGGACATTGCCCTATTTTTAAACTAACTTATTACTAGGGCTATCATATTTGGGCTGTAAAAATCTGCAGTTTCTAAAGTTCCTATGATTTTACCAAAATTCTACTTTACGTGCGTGTGCGCACATACACACACAGAGGGGGGCGGGGGCAGGAGAGCTAGGTAGGTTTGGTAGAACTGTTCTCTGCTTCTCAAACCCATGCAATCCACTAGTTAGATTATTTCTGACAAAGCATTGTTAAGATATTATAACTCCTAGGATTCTTTGGGACCAAGCATTATGATTTAAATAAACAAGTAAATTTCTGATTAGAGCAACAAAAACTTAGATTTAACTATGAATATGATAACCATAGTAACACTCTTCCTTTTTTTGTAGTTCTTTTGTCCAACAGGTGCCCCAAGTGGATTACCTGAAGTCATTGGTTTTCTGAATGGCACATCTATTCAGCAAATTTTTAATATTAGGACTTTTGCAGGAACATTTGGGTCTTGTGTTCTAGCTGTAGCATCTGGACTCTTCTGTGGACCAGAAGGTCCTATGATTCATTTGGGGTAAATAATTTATGCTTTTAAAACTGCATACTGATAGAAAAATAAAGTATTTCTGCATTAATTAAACAGATTCTACTGTATGAATCACATAAAAGGGAGTTAATGTTCTAATTCAACATGTCAGATAAGGAAGGATACACATTCTAACAAAGTGCAGCTCATTGTAATGGAAAACAATTAGGTTTTACTAATCCAAGTACAGTTCTATAACTTTTCTGACATATACCGACAGAATGTGGTGTAACCTAATAAACATTTATTATATTTAATGGATACAAATTCAGAAATAAATGGAGGGTAAAAGAAAAACTTGGACAAGGAAGAAATAGAATGGAAAGAATCCAGATGACTGAAGAAAAGTATGTTATGCTCAGTTTTACCATAAATTCTCAAATGTGAATGAATATATAATCATTAATCTGAAAAATATAAATAACTCTATAACTTGATCAGGTGTATTTTGTTTTTGTTTTTTTAAAATTTCATGAACATTAATAAGGAGAGTCATGTTTGCAAATGTTTTTTCTAGGGCAATCATAGGATATGGATTGAGCCATTTCAGACCAAAGATTCTTAGAATTTACTTTCCTTCCATCATCAGATTTTGGAATACAGCTGACAGGTATGGAAATTTATTAACTGTGTGCTTCTAAATTGTTCTTGAAATAAAATAAGGACTGCCTCAGATTAGATAATGGAATGTATGAGAATGAAAATATCAGGTGAGTAGTGGACCAAAGAAATGATGTCGATTTAGCATTTGCATGTACTTAGACTTTAATAATATATTTGATAAAGTTGGTCATAGCCTCCTTTCTGACAAATTACAATGTAGGATGGAGGGTTCCATTACTAAATTGATTTGCAGTTGGCTGAAGAACTGCAGCTATTATCAGGTTCTTATGACATGCAGAGGATGACATGCAATGAGGTACCTCAGGATTCTCTCCTGGGTCCAATATTCTTCACTGTCTTAAAAAATAATGTAGATGAGGGGAATAAAACTCAATTTGCAGATGACATAAAGCTGGGGGAATTGCTAACACCCCAAAAGATTGTTCAAAAGGAACTTGATACACTTGAACATTGGGCTCCAGTCCAGAAAATGCTCTTCAACTATAAATATAAGGTTCTGCACTTAGACAGGAAAACATATATGCACAAATAGAAGTTAAAGGGTATATCTGACTAGGAGAGCTGTTAAGCAGTGGAACAAACCTGACTTCTGAAGGAGGTGCTCTATCACTCTTTTTAAAATAAATAAATAAATTGGATATTCATTTTGTCTGGAAGATTCTTGAACTGGGCAAGGACTTGGATTAGAAGACCACCAAAGTTTCTTCCAAGCCTAGACAATGTTTGTATGACATATTTGTAACAGAATACACAAACACTTCATTTGGGGATAAATAAGTTTCCATCAGAAAAATTCAATGGTGGCATCCAGATACTATCTTCTGTTTTTAATTCCATTTTTACTTCTCTTTATTTCTTAACATAAAAAAATCCCAGTAGTGAAAGTTAGGACTTATTGTCCCCCATCTTCGGAAGTTGGTTGCATTGATTGCAATAATTAGAAATCTCAAAGGATGTGCTGTGAACATTTGGGACCCATCTTTCTTCAATATCTTTATATTTCCACTGCAGAAAAGAATAGCAAGCCGTTTATGCAATACATGAACAACATCACTTTTCCAGTGATGCAGGGGAGGGGACTGACAAAAAAGTCAAGATAATGGCCACAATTGTCCAATCATAGCCATACACCTTTGAGTGTTGAACACAAAAAAGGGTCAGGGCTTCAGTTGTGTGACTGTAACCACCATCTTAAGTTTTTTTTAACCATATGCTTATATCTATTACAAATAAGCATACATTGGAAGACTGGGTTGCACTACAAATCTTCAGTCTGACCTTCTCCAAAGCTGTAGCCTCAATTTACAACCAGAATAGTCTGTGAGACACCAAGATGGAGAAAGATTATATAATATATACGAAAGCAACACATCAACTTAGGGTGATTTTTTTAAAATTGGGAAAAGAAAATTAGAGAGATTAGAAAGATCAATTAATGCTATACTTTTGGGCACAGTATTTCTGGAATATAGGTGGCACAAAAATATGATAAAGTTGCCAAATCAAATGCATAAAAGAATATTAGAATTTAATTTTCTGAAGCTGATTTTTGATTGTCTTCTGTCATGAACTGACATAGTGGCTGGCTTATCATATTACGTGATGTGAAAATTTTCTATTCACATGAACTAGCATAAAATGCTAAATTTGTATGAAGTAATAAACTTTCAAGATATTTGGATATGATAAATCAGCAGTTCTTGCATTATGAATATGAGTTCAAACCCTATCTTTTATTTGTAAAATGATGGCATTTGCAAATCCATGGTGTAGCCAGAAAGTTTTGTTTTAAACAAAATGCTAGTGTTATTGTTCATGTCAAGCTCAGATTTTGGAAAGGGTTGAAGGATCAAATTCTATTGCTTTAAAACAGTGATTATGAAAATATGTAAATAACATCCAAACCTTTGACCATACTGTTTGTTGTATCTCCAAACAAAAAGCTATTACAAGTTATCTGTGGCTCAAGGACAACTTAACAGCCCAAATAAACAAAATATATTTTGTCTTTTAACTGGCTTCAGCAATTTGTGAAAGAAATATGGTATGTGTTTCTTAAGCTGTTACTTATGGAAAACATTTGGCCCATGACCAATAATGTAGACTTCAGAAATATCTTTGTACATTCACTTAAGACCATGGAAACTTAATTCTACCTGAACTGCATTATAGCCAACACACTGGGTTCTGAACCTTTGTTCACAAAAGACCTTGATCTGATTCAATTTGACAAACCAATTCTAAACAAAACTGTTTTTGTGTTAGCTGTAACATACTTAAATATTGGGACTCAACTTAACTGTAATATGTACCTACATAAAGTAGATGGTTTAGAGTTATGTTTTTCTTTTTCCTTTTCTTTCTTATCTCACAAATCCATGATTAATATTTGGACTGAGATGTCCAATTGTATAAAGTGCACTATTGTTTTATCATGTAATATAATCCTATAGATTTTTTAAAAACAAAACTTTCTTATCTTTGTTACAGAAGGAATTTTGTTACAGCTGGTGCAGGAGCAGCACTTGCCTCTGTATTCCATGCTCCTGTAGGTGGACTTTTATTTACACTAGAGGAGGTGGCCTCTTTCTGGGATATCAAATTGGCCTGGCAAACATTCTTCTGTTGTTTGATGGCTGCTTTCACGTCAGATTTACTATCCTCTTCTCTCTATGGATTTGTATACAGGGGTCAGTTTGGATTTTTCAAAGCTGAGAAGAGGATTTTATTTTGGGTATGTATTAAGTTGATACCAAATCAAATAATGTCAACTCCCATATTTCTGAGGGGCAATTCAAAGCAAAGTCTTTTATCGATAACATCCTCCTTTATCTGGGGTTGTTTAGGACTATAGTTAAACATTATAAAAATAAAATTGTCAACAGGTAGCAGGTAATTGAAAATTTGCATCTCAGTTTATAGGGGAGTTCAATTAGGTTCTGAATGCTACTGAGTTGATATTTGCTTTGCTGAGTTTATTTTGGGAATCATCACCAACTTGACTAGTTGACCACTTTGATTATTTAATCCCTTTCAGTATGCATTCAATCCTGATTATGGAATGGGAATGGCATTAGTCACACTTCTAGATAATCTCAGGTGAGAGTGGAATGAAAGTTGTACATTCATCCTTGTTTGATGGGATCTCTTAGCAGCCTTCACTACCATTGATCATGGTGTCCTTTTGGATCAACTTTTGGGATTGAGGGTGATTGGCAATGTATTGTGCTGGGTTCCCCTTCTAAATCCAGGGTTGATATCAGTCAGTGGTGACTGAAAAGGGGAGAGATTCCTAGTATGTGAGGTGCTGCTTTTTCTGCTCCTATTCAACATTTACATGAAACCACTGGGTGAGCTCATCATTGCCATGGTCTGAAGTATCATTAGTACTCAGATGATACGTAGTTATACATCTCTGTCTAAGCAAACTAAGTGTGCTTTTGATATCTTATCCCAGTGCCTGGAAGCTGTGAGGCTCTGGACAGGGAACAACAGGCTTCAGCTGAATTCTGGCAAGAATAAGTGGTTCTGGGTTTTGGGCCCTGCCATTTCTGGAACTATGACATCATGGTGCTAGATGGGATTGACTGCCTCAAACAGATAGGTACATTTCTGGATCACTGCGCAAATGGATTAGGTGCATTCCTGTCAAACAGGCAATAAGTAGTCAAAATAAGGAGTGCCCTATCAAACCCTGTACCAGTTAACAGCGGTGTCCCCCAAGGCAGCATTCTAGGCCCCACTCTCTTTCTAATTTACATAAATGACCTTTGCGATCATATTAAAAGCAACTGCATCTTCTTTGCTGATGACGTAAAACTATTTAACACAACTGACGATACTGCTGCCCTACAAAGCAACTTTGACTATGTATCAGAATGGTCGAACAATTGGCAACTTCAAATCTCAACCAACAAATGCTCTGTTTTACACATTGGCAACAAAAATCGGAACACTAAATACAAACTGGGCAGATACGACCTTGTAGATGACCGTCACTCTGTCAAGGATCTAAGAGTACCCATTTCAAAAGATCTAAGCCCCAGAGCTCACTGTAACAGCATTGCCAAGAAGGCATTAAGAGTTGTTAACCTAATTTTGCGAAGCTTCTTCTCTGGTAACATTGAACTGCAAACCAGGGTATACAAAACCTTCGCCAGACCAATTCTTGAATATAGCTCATCTGCCTGGAATTCACACTGTATAACGGACATTAATGTAATTGAATTAGTCCAGACATATTTCACAAGAAGATTACTCTATTCCTCAGCTCGCAATAGAGTACCTTATACATCCAGACTTAAAATTTTGGAGCTAAACAACTTAGAACTATGCCACCTACAGTCTGACCTAAGCTTCGTACGCAAAATTGTCTGCTATAATGTCCTACCTGTCAATGATTACTTCAACTTCAACCACAATGGGCAAACAATAGATACAAATTCAAAGTAAACCACTCCAAACTCAATTGTAGAAAATATGACTTCAGCAACAGTGCTTTTTCCACATCGTCTTCTGTAAAATTGATATGTATTAGATCATTGTAGTTGTCTGTGGTTCGACTAGGAAATACTGGGCATGATCCATTGCCGTTTACAAATACTGAGCCAGAATTGTGAGAATGTGTTCAAGAGGTTGGCTTTAATAGTGTCATCGTTGCAGTCTTTATCATTATGTCCTTTCAGGGGTGGGATGGACCTTGAGTCTTTTAGTTTGTTGTTTACAAAATTGTAGAAAGCGTGGGTGGAATTGGTGCGTAGAAGGTTTTCTTCTTGTTTAAAGTGATAATTGGTGCATTCAGTCTTTATCTGGTGGCATAAATTTTTGTATCAGCTTTTGAAGTTGGCAATGTGACCAGATTTGTTTTTCTGTCAAAATTTTGTTAGGCAGCTATAAAGTGTTTTTAGGTGAAGCTTTATTTTTAATAAGTACTCTAAGCATGTGACAAAAGTGGTAATTTCTAACAGAAAAACAGCAGGAAAATTTATTTACTTCCTTCACATGCTTTCTCCATTCACCAAAAGAATAAAAGAAAAAAAAAACCTTTTGGAATATTTATTGACTTTCTTTAAACTAAGATAGCTTTATAACTTCTCTTCCCGTCATCTCTGAAATCTCACTAAAGAAAAACTTACAACAATTGTGCTTTGAAAAGAATCACCAGTTTAGCCTGGCTGATAAAGAACCTAGTAGAATGGAAACCAGAGAGGTGGAGATTTCTGATTTTCAGCCCAGAGAAAGGCATTTTGTAAACAAGTGACAGATAGTAAGAATATTCAAAACTGGGAAATGAGTAGTTTCTCAAAAGATAGAATGAAGCAACCCAGAATTTAAACCACAAACCAGAAAGGAAAGTTCTGGGGTGCCTTAAATCAGCAATCCTCAACCTTTGTGGCTTGGCGGCCTGGCTAAGTGGGGGGGAGGGAAATTGGGCTGCATAAGTAACAGGCTGGCACATGTACACATGTACTCAACCCTTGTGTGAGCAGGATAGCACACACACATGCAGCTCAACTTGGACAAGCAGTGGACTGGCACACATGTGCACGAGTACCCACTGGGACACCGCTTTGCACAAGTTGGGCGGTGCATGCTCTAGCCAGTCACTCTCATGGCCCAGTTCTGAATAGGCCATGCGAGTGTATTATAATCTTCAAGATGAGAAGGACCATTGGAGACAACAAATGTTCTGGAAAAAAAGACTTTGGTGATGACCTATAAACTATTATAAGACCAATCTGGTTTTATGCACCTAATTTCATTTTATATATAGAATGGTTGCATCATATACCTTTTATCCTGGAGGCTGCTATATATCAAATAATTGGCAAAAATTACAGAACTTTTTATTTTGTCTCCTTTCTGTTTAGGTTAAGAACTTACTGGATATGAGCGTGTTGGCTTTTCTTCCGGCCATCTTCCTTGGAATACTTGGGGGTCTTTTAGGAGCTTTTTTTGTTTTCCTGAACATAAGGATTAATAAAATACGTCTGTGGTTCTTCAGCACAATTAAAAAACCATCCCTCAGAAAATCAATCAAACTTCTTGAATGTATTCTGATCTTTGTAAGTATTGAATGTTATTTTCTTGAGCATTCGAAGATATATTTATACCAGATTCAGAATGGTAAAACATAGATATTTAGACACTTTTTCAATTTACTTTTTCAATGTAGGCTTTCACTGTTGGGTAGTGTTGGGCTTCCAGGTTTAGTGACCATGGTCTAAACAACAGATTTCTTGAGATTTTGCCAGCAGCTGTGGTCTGCTACACAGTAGATTTCTTCTAAATATGCCAACCATAGTTTCTGGCAAATGTCAGTAAATCTATTTTCTACATCATGGTAACTAAGCCCTGAAGTCCAACATTGCTCAATTTTTAAACATTTCAAATTGGCAGTGTTTCAGTCCCTACCTGTTAGACTATAAGAAGGAATTTCCCTAGAAATTGGCTTTTCCAGGGAAACTACTGCTTCATCATCTGCATTACATCATGCGTCATGGTGGTACAGTGGTTAGAATGCAAACTGATGTGATCAGATAACTTGAAGTACAATTCTAACACACTCCCAAACTTGTTGATTGAATTCACGCCAAATACGGAGTGGTATTTTGAATTAGATTATTATCATCAAACATTAAGCTGTAACATGACCCGATTTGTCAGTTAATTGTGTTGCAGTTTATTTTAGATGAACTGAAATTTTCAGAAACAGATCTTTCTCCTTTAATGAAGTGCAATATTCTTGTCTCTCCCAATCCAATGCCTTCCATTATTCCACTCATGTAGTCCACCGTTCCTAGAATTCATTAGGCAATGGCATTCAACAATTAAATTTTAGTATCTCTAGAGAGCAACAATTTGCAGAACGGGAGACTACCAAACTAACAGTCTGGAGACCAGCAAACTATGGGTAAAAATAGTTTTGACAGTTCTAGCACTATGAAGATTATTTTTAATTGGATTATTGGCTTTGATTTTTTTTCTCTTTCATGAGCTTAGATGCCCCTCTCTGAAATATTTTGTGAACCTGATAGGTAAAATTGCTTGATATAGATCATATGGATATATCTGTAGATGTTCCTGTGGTGTGAACTGGCTGATTTTAGACTACCATTAAACATTTCTTTCTGTATTTTAAAATACTATATGCAGGTTTTGACTATTACTGCTACGGTCTACTTGCCATATTTTTTTCACTGTACTCCTGTCAGGAGACTGCCAGCATCTGATCTAACTAGTAAGTCACAGAGGTAAGTAGTGAAAGAGATGGAAGCACATGTACTGTATATTAAAATGGCTCCTGGCTACTTCAGCTTGAGAACTGATTCAATTGTATAGCTTCAAGGCATGTCATATGACCTGGGTGGAATACTTGGATAGCTAGACCATAAACATATTTCATAATGGAGGCACAGGAAATGGAATGTATGCTCACTTCAGATATGCAATACTGTATGTTCTCATAGTTAGAAATTGGGTCATAATTTATGACAGTACCAGCATCCTTTCAGAGTAATGTCAAAAAGTATGGAATCAGGCACTTTTAAGGCCTGGCAGGAGCCACAGGGGGGGGGGGGGGGGGGGGGGGGAGGCAGTTTCATATGGAGGTTCCTTAAATAACTGCAGAACCTTTGGTGCTTGAATTGTTGACAACACAACACAAGATTCCTAAAGAGCCCTGTCTTCTGGATTAGGAGACGAGGAGGCTAATTGCCACATACATAACAATAGGAAGGTTATATCATATATCTAGGTAAGCGTCCTATTCCCCATGAGATGATTAAAATGTAAGAAATAGTATACATACAGTAGAACATAATAAATATTCACTAGTTTTAGAATGATTCACTGGAAAACAACTTTTTTGAATAGGTAGATGAGTGACTTCACAAGGAAAAAAATCATAGGTGAAAAATGTATTCTACTCAAACCACCAGCCAAATGTTTGACTGGCACTGAAAACAGGTTTTTTTTTTTTTTACTATATTGCATCTTTTGGTTCAAGAGATTTAGCTCAGATGAAATCTTGCATGTGAAGGAACTTTGCAAGCACATTAAGAGTTTCAGACATACTGTGGGGAAAGGAGAACACAGATAATAATTGCCTTAGCACCTGCTATATATATATTTTATCATGAACTGATTATGATTTCTTTTCATTTTGGTTACAAGCATACATTATCTTAGCTGGCAAATATGCAAATATAACTGCAAACCAGCCACTTTACAAGGTAGACCAAATGAAACAGAATTTTTCAACCAAACCTTCAATGAAGGTAAGAGAAAAGAATTTCCTCTCTCTGTTCAAGAACAGCTTTGCTTAAATATTCTTCTACAAGATTCACATGCAGATGTTTTGCATACTGCTGCCTGGTTGTAATAATATATATATCAGTTTTACAAGATGCCATATGATGTTGTTAAACTTGGTTTTCATCGATATCTGGGTTCAAATTATGCCATTTTGGAAATTTGTGGACTTTCTGTACTTAAAACATTCTAATCATACTATACTCTTTCAATATTTTCTCCCAGAACAGTGATGGACAACACAGCAGTGTTTGCCCTATTTTGTAATCCCAGTTGGTACCACCAAAATTGCTAGTAAAACTGATAATATCCAGTGCTGTCAATTTCCTTCCTTGGTTTAAAAGGAGGCTAAATCAAATCTTTACTGTAGTTATTAACCAACATGTTGGGTAAAGGTATATTTTCAGTGGAAAGAATTTTAAGGATAAAATGTTTCAGTTAATAGTTTAGCCAAGAATAAAACTAAACGGATTAAAATAAGTGATGGGGTAAATTAAAAAGAGAAATTTTGACTAAAAGAAAAAGCCTCACCACTAATACAAGTGGTTTTGGCTAATACAAACAACAAGTAGTCCTAAATGTAATGCTAGAAGTAGTTTCGTATCTAGCAGACTATCATCAAATACGTTCAGCTGCTCTTATTTACCATGTGGCTCATATTCAGCTACACATAATCTGAATATGTTACAACTGGTGTCAGATATCAGGAGCAGTGCATATTTGTTGGATGACAAATTCTGTGGCATTATTCAGAAATGGAATAATTAGGACTTTATGGGGTTCCCTACAAAACTGGAAGTAAAAGAGGGCATGCTCAGTAGCATCTACCTTTCCCACAGGGACATAATGGCTGTGGTATCTTCTTTTACAACATGTACCTACAGCAGAATTGAAGGCAGGACATTTTATTGGGCTAACGCGAAAGCCCTTGTATGTATTGGAACATCCAACTGCATGAGATATGCAGTTGATGCCATGATGTACCTAAAACTTTCAGCTTTTAAAAATTGAATATTAGAATTTGGATTAGACAATTTAATCCATCTGGAATTTAAAGTAAAAGGAAAAAGACTGAAAAAATTGACTCAACCCCTTGATAAGATCGTCTCATCATCAGACACATCCCCTGCCTATTAAATAATAATAATAATAATAATAATAATAATAATAATAATAATAATAAGTAATAACAATAACAATAATAGCAGCAGCAGTATTGGCCAAATAAAGTTGTTTGCAATTCTCATATAGGATATGTAAATTTATTATTTAAGTAAGACATTAAGCTACATAGCCAAGTCACAAAGAGTTGAATGACTTGTTTTCAGAAGTTGTTGGTGTTCCAATACTGAAGGTTTTAAAGAAGAGATTGGGCAATCATTTGTCTGAAATGCAGTGATGGGATTCAAATATTTTTGTCACCGGTTCAGTGGGTGTAGTTTGGTGGGTGCACTTTGTGCATGTGCACACCCTTTGTGTGCACATGCGCATGAAACATGCACTTTGCGTAGGCGCAGAGGCATTTGCCCAGGCGCAGAGGCATTGCAACTCAGATCCTGCAAGCCTGCATGATCCCGGTCACTTCAGCAGCTGCTGCGCTGCACTCTTCTGTGCCACGCAAAGCAGCTGCGCTTCAAGTTCAGTGGATAAAGGTGACTATGGGAGCCCAGGCAGGTGGGTGGGCCCAACAACAGAGTGGCGGAGAGAACTAGTTCGATCTCCGCTGCTCATCGCTGCTACCGGCTCGCCAGAACCGGTAGAATACCACCACTGCTGAAATTGTATAGGATTTCCTGCTTAAGTAGCGGTTTGGATAGAAGACTTCCAAGGTCCCTTCCAACTTTATTATTCCGTTATTCTATTAACATCCTTTTGAGAGAAAATAAAGATCATTGCAATAACAGTAACAATAGCAACAACAGTGTACAATCTGTGTCCATGGCATTTTATTGAGTGTGATGAACTAAAAAGAAAAGAGAGGAACCATAATGAATGTGCTGTATATCTTTCTGTCTGTGGTGTTTTACAAATCTAGATTATGAACTCTTCTCTTTTCTATCTCTCTCCATTCAAATTTAAAGCTGCTGCACTCCTGGCAGAAAATGGCATAAAAGGAATCATGTACTTATTCAGACGTGGAACTCATGAGGAATTTGGATATCCCTCTCTTTTTATGGCACTTCTTCTCTATTTCTTGATATCCTGCTTGACTGCAGGCTCTGCTGTTGCAAGTGGCTTGGTTATACCTATGCTGTAAGTATGATATTCATTTTCTACTGCTTTGGGATGCTGTCATCTTTGCTAAAAAGCAAACTGAGGATATGGCACAAAGATTAAAGAGACACCTAATTTCTGCTCAAGATTTAAAATGGGGTTAACACTTGTCCTTTAACTTCCCCCAAATTTTCTCCTATTACACAAAGGTGTTTCCCCCCCCATCTTATTCTTAACATTTCAATATTTCAAATATTTCTTTTGAGGCTGTTTTTGAGCTACGCACATGTTTTGTTACACACACACCTTCCCATAATGTCATCCATTGCTTCTGCTTCCTGAACTGAAAAACAGCCCTGTGGGAGAAGTTCCTTTGTAACTTAATTGTAGTTATGGAAGCATCAGGACACTTTTTAGTGGCATCTGCAGAGATGGCCGAATCAGTCAATATGATGAAAGCAGTATCAACATTGTTGAACTCCAAAGCTCCAGCTGTTTGATATAGCAATAGCACTTAGACTTATAAACCACTTTATAGTGCTTTACAGCCCCCTCTAAGTGGTTTACAGAGTCAGCATATTGCCCCCAACAATTTGGGTCCTCATTTTACCCACCTCAGAAGGATGGAAGGCTGAGTCAGCCCTGATCCTGGTGAGATTCGATCTGCCAGATTGCAGGCAGATGACTGTCAGCAGAAGTAGCCTGCAGTACTGCACTCTAACCACTGTGCCACCAAGGCTCTTTGATATGTGCTTGGAGGCATCACATATATGTCCTAAAGGGCAGAACTTACAGCACAATGCAGCTTTCATAATTTTGAGGGGGAAAAAAGCAGCCTGGGCTGTGAATACCCATAACACTTTAGGGGAATTATTGTGCAATAAAATATAAAATATTTACAAATATTAATTTGTTGATTTAAGCATGACTCCTAGTTACTATTGGATTTATTAATATAATTGTCTTGGCAACAATAAAGAAATGATTAGCCACTGACTTTATTTTATATTTTTTTAACACCCCAATTTAACTTGTAGCTTTCCTAGTGCTCTAATCATTTCAGCCAAAGTTAGCCTGGAGCCACCTTTTGTTACTAAATTAAACATGAGAATCTTCTATTCCCATCCATGAGAGTATAACCCAAATGTTCTCATTATAAAAAAATAACAATTTATCATCAAATAAGCACACTTTGAAGCATTTTCAGTGCAGAATGTGAGTCATTGTTTTTTCTTTTGCAGATACATAGGAGCTTTATATGGGAGAATTGTTGGTTTGGTATTAGTTTCCATTTTTGGAATTCAGACTGATGAAAGTCATGCATGGATTGATCCTGGATTGTTTGCTGCAATTGGAGCAGCTTCCTTTTTCAGTGGTGTTTCAAGACTAACAATATCCCTTACAGTCATCATGGTATGTTTAAGATAACTTGTAGGAAGAGATGTTTGATCAAAAGTCTTAGATCAAAAGAGTATTTGATGAGGTGTTGCCTGACTGGGAGACTAACCGTATGGGAATGAGTGGCTGGAATCATTAGATTTTTGCCCTGAAGAAGGTTTTTTTTTTCATAAAAAAGTTTGAAAGATTTTTGCTACGCTGGGAAGGGATAATGAGAGACTTACTGGCTTCATCCAGATGTTGCTATTTGGGAGAAGTATAGCTGTTTAATGTAAAAAGAAAGTTATGCCCACAGGTCTGTCATAATTCTTTTTTTCTATCTTACGTTTATCTACAATATTGCCTTTCACAAATTGCCTCCCTAGGCAGTACAATAATTGAAAACTACATTAAGTATAGTATAAAATATAAAAAAAACACACAAAACAATACAATGTCACTTTAGAATAAAGTGCTTTTAAGGTGAGGCTTTAATACCGCTGGCATTCAGATTTTTTTTAATCTGACTGATGATGTCTAGAACTTGCTCTAAATTCTGACAAATGCTAGGATTTGAGGAATATCACATTTCTTAAAGAAACTGATAACTAGTTACCAGATAAATGTTTTTTATACTTTTGACAAGGCATTATAAATAGAGATACTATGGGAAATTTGGGGAGAAGGCATAAGACTTAGATGACATGTAGAATTTTAGACATGAGGGTATGGGAACCAAATTCTTGGTTATTACAATCAACATCTTTATAGGTTTAGAGAATGTTCTTTAAAAAAGCTGCTTCTTAGGTCTGAAGAGCCAACAGCTCATCTTATTTCAGACTCTGATTTTGACACCAGAGCTGGATTCAAACAAATAAATCTCCAAGGTGTATTCCTTTGCTTTGGAAAAATCTAAACCTAGAAGATATTGACTTCCCAATAATAAAATGCTTTTTATATAGCAATTATGTAATCAATGTTCTTTTGAAATAGAATATAAATATTATTTATCCTGGACTACTTATATCCTACCAGTGAAATAACCAAAGCATCTATTTGGACTTTAAGACAATCAAAACCCTAGTCTTAATATCATTTTTCTGGAAATAAAATATCTGAAGAGCAAAACAAAACCTTTATCTCAACATTGTTCAGAAAATTTGTGGAATGTTATGTTGAGTGCAACTGACTTCCTTTGAAAAAGCCAGAAAAAACTCAATATCCATAGAAGCAGAAAAGGATAGCAGCAGCATAAAGGAATGGCTTAGTATTCACTCTGGCACCCTAGCATTGCACATGTAGTCCCTCTAGATGGCGATTATAACACTTGTGAATCTTTTTCTTTAGATGAGGAAGTAGAAGTTCAGTTCATGTCCCTCTAAAGTAAACACAGGCATCATATATTTTTGACAAGGGTAAAACGACTTGAACAATGCAATAACATAGTTGAAAAACGAAACAGTAAATGCACATATTTCTTTGTCTGATAGATTCCAAAATAATTTTGGAATGTTTGTTTTGGCTTTTTGTATAGTCTCTGAGAGACTATGCGAGATGGAGAAATATGAGGTATGGATAAGCAATGCATGGATAGATGTAAAGGAAGAGATGTGCCTGTACTACATATGAATGTGTGTGGGAATACAGATTTCATTCTACTTGTGCAACCCTTGGAATGTTGCTTATACACTTCTTAAGGGCTCAGTTGTTGTTAACTCTTATGGACTTTGTTTCCTACAAAAATACATTTTTATATAGTTGCTGTTTTGGGGCTAAACAATGTGCAAAGTCCAGAAAAGACAAAGAACTAGAAACAAAGCAAGAAACAGATATAGCCAAACCTAGTTTACATCAGTTTCATTTGTTATTTTACCTCCTTATTTTCCTATCCTTAGAAACTTTTTTCTATCGTGACTAAATAATAGTTCATTCTTTTTAAAAAAAAAAAACCTCTCTGTTTTGGGAATTCAACTACAATTTTCTCAGTCATCTTTTTTCTCTTGATCCATTCATTCTCCCTTCACTCTGCTTTCACATTTATGTTTTCTATGCAACAAAACTATCTAATGTAGCTCTTTTGCACTGCTTACTTATTTTTATATTTAGTCCATATTCATTTAGCACATATTAATTCTTGCTTTGTCTCCTATAATACACCCTTCTAATTCCACAAATCCACAGTATTCAATGAACTTGATGTAATGTACATCTTGTACACGTTTGACAAACAAATAAATAAAATAAATAATGGTTAAGGTTCTGGCCAAGAAACCAGGAGTTTGAATTTTAATCTTGCCTTAGGCATGAAACTTAGCTGGGTGACTTTGGGCCAGTCACGCTTTCTCAGGCCAACCCACCTCATGGGGTTGTTGTGAAAAATAGAAGAGAGGAATTATGAATGGTCACCTCCTTGATTTACTTATAAAGTAAAAAGATAAACAATCAAATAATAAATAAATAACAAATAAACATTTATGATTCTAATGATATACCCAACCTCAACCTCCTAAATGAAAGGAGGGATAGAAATCAGTAAATAGCAACTTTAAAGTATTCTGATAATAAACTTAACTTTACGATATACTATATATTTATTCACATTTTCTTTTGTTATCTTCCCTGATCTATTGTTATTAAATTAATATTGTTAAGTGTTATTAAATTGTTGTTAAATGAATCCAAAATTTTATCTCTTTTCTCTATTCAATGAAATGGGTTCTGCCCCTGCATCATTTCATTGTTTGGATATCTGCTTCATTCTGATATCCACCACGAATTTTTAGCTATTTTTTGTTAAATAGGCTACAATTGGCTGTTTTTTTGCTTGGTATACTGAAGTATAACCAGACAGACTATTTCAAAGTTTTGTGCAGTGGGATAAGTCAGACAAATAACTGTAGGAGCTCTAAATCAGAAGAAGTCTTCAAATTAACAAATTTTATTAAAAGGCAGAATTATAGTTTACTTCATCAGATATTTGATGTAATAACTGATATAAGATTTAATTAAAAATGAAGCAAGATTGGGGGGGGAGAGGGTAGTTATGCAAGTTACATGTAAGACAAATTACAAGTCCCTCATCATTTTGCAAGTATATTTTGTTAAACATCCATTGAATTTGTTTAAACCTTCTGAGATAGCCTTAAATCTTTGAATATCACCTGTCTCACATATAAGAGAACAGAGAAGAGCAACAAAGATGATTAGGGGGCTGAAGACTAAAATATAGGAAGAATGGTTGCAGGACTTGGGTATGTGTAGTTTAGTGAAAAGAAGGACTAGGGGTGACATGGTGGCAGGGTTCCAATATATGAGGGGCTGCCACAAAGAAGGGGTCAACCTATTCTCCAAAGCACCTGGGGCAGGACAAGAAGCAATGGATGGAAACTAATCAAGGAAAACTATTTGAAGTCATGACACCTTTACCATTGTCTGTCCCACTACACAAAGAATTTGGTTGCATGTTTACCTACACACAGAAAAACATTGTCCTGCTTGAAAGAAAATGAGATTACATATTGGAAGTAGGCAATTTAAATGTGAAAAATTCTCTCCTATCTTTCTAAATCTATGGCTAAAACATGGGTCTTGAAGAGAAATCTCTTTGGAAAATATGCCTCATATAAGTGAATTTGCTGGTAATTATCAGCCACTATATTCTGGATTAAATGGACATTCCTTGACCTAAAAGGTCATACAAATTGACTATCTAAGGATTTAAGCATCAATGTTCTAAAGAACTTTCACCTGTGTTTATTATACCATTGATAACATAGTCAGACTTGTTTGTTTATTAGAACGTATAAAAATTACTCAGCTACATTTACAGAGACTGATGTTGTTTTCTCTTTATTATAAGGTTTTACTGAAAGTAGAAGCATCTTCTGTTATCAGTACAATAACATGGAAAGAAAAAGAAAATAATATTAACTGTTTCATACACTTTCCATAAATCTGATTTTATAGGAATTGGTTTTTTAAAGGGAGATTTAGCTTTTGGTAAAGCCATGTGCCCCATTTAGTTATGTCTTGTTTATTCCCAATTTCTAATCCATTACAATGGTAACTTATTGGTAAATATAATGTAGGAAGTGTATAGGTTATTCCCTGCCAATGTCCCTGAAATCATCCCCTGACCCACTTTCTTCCTTTGTGTGAAAACAAACATATGAAGGGAAAAAAACTGTGATTACTCGGGGTTTTTCCAGAAACCTTCCAGAGTAGTAATTTATAGAATAACTCAGGTCTTGCTATGGCGTAAATTACTATTGCAGACAGGCCTTATATTGCCATAGCAGTGACTTGGTGAGGCTAGTCTAGATTAGAAGACTTCCTTCCTTGGCAAGAATACAGTTTATCTTCATTATTTGTTCAGATGCATATTGAATTGAAGGTGGTAAATTAAAACATCTAGTGCCTGCAGTTCTATGATGCTTACCACTTCTAAGTTCTTATCATATTTTAGGTTCTATGCCCCCAAATTCAACAAAAATATATTTCTTTTCAGTTTAATTTGATGGGATATTTAAATCTCTGGTATATTATTATATATTATATTATAATGCTAAGTAGTCCAGAGCTGTGCTTACATGACATATAAAGCTAAAAGATTTACAATATGCGCAATCCATTCTCCTTTAGTATGCCTGGTTCTTTAATCACAATCACAACTAACTCATTGTGAAGACAGTTGCTAGTAGACTTTTAAAATAAATAACTATTCCTATAGAGAGAATTTAAGAGAATGCTACATGGCTGCTCAGAAACTTGTCCCATTGGCTTTATGATGTCTTTTTAAAAGTATAATATTTTATTCTCAATCTGTGTGAGTACAACAGCAGAACTATTGCAAGAGAAAGTAAAGATTACTTGCCAATTGACACTTGATTTTCTCTTATGCAAAGAAGGCCAATTTCCCAGCTGTTATTTTTGGCTACAAATGTACTTGGCTCTTGAGATTTACAATGTTTTTCTCCAGCTCATTTGCTCCTCATTCTATTTTATCATCTAAATCCAGTTACTTCCATCTGTACTAG